AGGTCGGGCTTAAACCTTCAGAAACTCTCCTGTTAAAACTATATGCAGGATCTTCATACTTGTTCATGTCAATAGCAGATAATAGCCAGTACTTAAATTACACCGAGCAGAGGCCCTCCTGTCACAGCTGTCAGCACCATGCAAACATATATTTATAGTGTCGTATCCAATCGCCCTCTCGCGCCCACACGGGGTCACCTCTGTCCGAATTAGCCTGCCCCGGGTTAACGCTCGGTTTGTTTGACCTCCTCGGGCCATGTGTGGGAATTCAGGGGATAACTGCAGGGCTAAGTAAAGCTCGGTGCACGAATAGACACCGAGGTTTTACAGGCGCTGCTATGAAGTGCAGGTGGTGCGTGACGTGATCCGATCGGACTGTTGTTGCACAGGCATCTGTGACTGGTGGCTGTACTTTAAAATAACAGCCTCCAATTAATTTAGAGAAGACTCCTCAAGCTTCTCGCTAATGAACTATTCCACCAATAATCATTAATCACGTTTAAGCACTTTATTAAAAAGTTAAACAGTTCACAGTAAAGTTTGCAGCATTTTTGTTTGAAATGTCCACTCCTAGCATGGTTTTTATAATTAATGCTAAACTAAAAACGTTAAGTGGTTTGGATTTGCTCAGATCTGTCTGCACAGCCCGTCTGAGGCTTTGCTGCACGTGCACAGCACTGCGGGTCAGCAGGCTTTAAAAAGGGGCTTGTTCTGTAGTGAAACCAGCATTCCCTGTAATGACCAGCAGGGGGCGACTCTTGGTTGTGAGACTGACTCCGAGAAAGACCCTTTTCATGACTTGAAGGATGATAAAGCAGAAGCTTACAGAACGCTAGCCTCGTGTGCAGCAGCCGTTAGTTTCCTACTATTGCTTCCAACGTTTATATACAGTCTTTGGATTTGGGCCGAGGGGAACCAAAGAAACCTGAAAATAAAATGAAATGTGCGTCTTTGTTTGGATAAACATTTTCTGTGCTTACTGTTGTTACGTTTGATTTGTTTCTTTATTTCTTCCCTGCGTCTGACGTAGACGATGTTACTTTTTGTGGCAGCTCAGCGTCATGACTACAGTTTAACTCAGACTTTCTTTGTCCTTCTGCTGTTGCACTCCAGAGGACGCTCTGCGGCTGCACGGCGGACCAGCCAAGAACTCCTACATGGAGCAGAGCTTCCACGGCCTCAACCCGGTCCTGCAGCTGCCGGTGAGCCTGGGCGCTGTCGAGGAGGCCGAGGCCAACGCCAGTCTGACGGGGGCGCCGTTGCGTCGCTGGCTGGACGGGCTGCTGGAGGGCTACTGGTCCGCCTCAGACGTCTGCTCGACGGGCCCCAGCGCCTGTCCGGTCATGCAGCGCTGCCGCCTCACCGCGTGGAGCTCCGCCAGCCCCGATCCAAAATCCGAACTGAGCCTGCCCAGAGAGGACGGGCGGATAAGGTAGCAGGCGGACGGACTGAGGGAGGAGGAGGCGAGGGAAAATGAAGGAAAACACGGGGCTGACGTCCCGTTTGTGTCCAGTATTTATTTATTTAAAGTCTGTGGGCGTGAACGGAGAGGACAGATGGAGCATCAGAGGGAACAGTGGGAAGAGACACTGAGGAAAATCTTCTCCTTCAGTCCTCATTCGGTCGGCTCTCACTTTTATTTAGGACTACAAAGCTGTGCGTGCTCGAGTGAGTGAAAGTGTGTTAAGAGTGTTTGAAGAACTTTATACCTCTTGTTGTACGAGTCTCCCTGAGTTCAGG